TCTTCTGGCTTTCCTCATCTTCCTTCCACTTTGACTTGGTCGGCCATCAAACAAAGACACAAACCATTTCGGTTTTCCTGTTCGGAAGAAAAGATATCCCATCAGCAGTCCAAAAACAACTCCACATCCATAGCCTAACACCACAACTCTCCACCCAAATCTCCACAACTCATCTTTTTCTTGGAAGGAGCTTGGCGGTGTCCCACTTCCATCACAAGATTTTGACAATGGGATTCCACACAGTCCAATGTTTCCTTCATAAGAACCATTTCCAAAGGTGTTGAACTGATTGCCCTGTGGTATGCGTCCGACAAGATGATTATTTGAAAGATTCAATACAGAAAGTTGTGTCAAAGATACCAATTCATCTGGAATTTTCCCCGCTAGCTCATTGGAAGAGAGATCCAACCATTCCAGATTCGTCAAATTCCCTAGTGACGGTGGGATATGACCAGTAAGGTTGTTATGAGAAAGATTAAGCCCTTTGAGAGAACTAAGCTTTCCAATAACATCTGGAATTTCTCCCTCAAACTTGTTATTTGAGAGATGAATACTACTGAATATGGTCAAGATTTTCTGCAGCTCATAGTCGAATCCCTTCCATGTCACAACCACTGAATATTGATAAGAATTGGTTCTCGTCGACACCATCATGTATTCAGGGGAACCACCATCTTTATGAGGGTCCATCATCGCCTTAAAATTTTCAATGTACTGAACAGGCAAAGCACCAACAAAATAATTGCTAGAGAGGTCTAGAACTCGCAACTTGGGAAAAGATGGACTTTCTTTGGTGCTCTGCACAGAACCGTGGAACTTGTTGGACCTTAAGACAAGCACTTGAAGGTGTGATAGAGATTCCAACCAATGAGGGAATGTATCACTTATGTTGTTGTTGCCAACATCTATAACCTCTAACATGCTACAATTCACCAAAGACCTTGGTAATAAGCTGTCCATTTGATTTCCATGTAAGTTGAGATTTCGTAATCCACAGCCCTCTGGAAACGCAAATGGTATATTTCCATCAAAGTAATTGGCCTGCAAATTCAGCACCGAGAGAGACTTAGGAAGACAATTTGGAATCTTCCCGATTAAGTTGTTATGAGAAAGGTCAAGAATTTCGAGATTTTGAAGTGCCGAGAACATGTCAGGTGCTACTAAATCAGTAAAATGATTTGATGATAAATTGAGATAACTAAGATTTACTAAATTAGCAATTGAATTAGAAATTGAGCCCTGGAGTCTATTGTTTGACAAATCTAGGTGTGTGAGTGAGTTTTGTGGGAATTGATTTATTTGACCTTGAAATTGGTTATGACTGAGACTCAAGTACTCTAACAAAGGTAAGGTGAAAATCCAAGGTGGCAACGTGCCATTAAGTAAGTTACGAGAAAGGACGAGATAGCGAAGTTGTGTGAGGTTTGCAAGTGATGATGGGATTTGTCCGTTAAAATTGTTAGAAGAGAGGATTAAGTCAGTTAGTTGAGATAAGTTACCTAGGGAAGCTGGAATGGGACCAGAAAACTGATTATTGGAAAGGTAAAGAAAGGTAAGTTGGGTGAGGTTTGCAAGTGATGATGGGATTTGTCCGCTGAGATTGTTAGAAGAGAGGCCTAGGTTAATAAGTTGCCTTAAGTTACCTATGGAAGCTGGAATGGGACTAGAAAACTGATTATAGGGAAGGGAAAGATAGGTAAGTTGGGTGAGGTTTTCAAGTGATGATGGGATTTGTCCGCTAAGATTGTTAGCATAGAGGTATAGGGTAGTAAGTTGCCTTAAGTTACCTATGGAAGCTGGAATGGGACCAGAAAACTGATTATTTGAAAAGTCAAGAAAGGTAAGTTGGGTGAGGTTACCTATGGAAGCTGGAATGGGACCAGAAAACTGATTATTTGAAAAGTCAAGAAAGGTAAGTTGGGTGAGGTTTGCAAGTGATGATGGGATTTGTTCGCTAAGATTGTTAGAAAAAAGGTGTAGGCTAGTAAGTTGCCTTAAGTTACATATGGAAGCTAGAATGGGACCAGAAAACTGATTATTTAAAAGGTAAAGAGAGGTAAGTTGTGTGAGGTTTGCAAGTGATGGTGGGATTTGTCCGTTAAAATTGTTAGAAGAGAGGCTTAGGTCAGTTAGTTGAGATAAGTTCCCTATGGAAGCTGGAATGGAACCTTCCAAGTTGCAGCCAAGACCCAGAGACTGTAATGTCTTCAGATCTCCTATAGACTCTCGCAATTGCCTTCCGCAATCCATATCATCTAAATACAACTGTTGGAGAGGACTGCTCCAATTGGAACTTGGAAGATCAATAGTGAGGTTTCGGTTTGCACTTAAATAAAAATTCTTGAGATTTGGAAAGCGGAAAATACTGTTTGGAAAGTTTCCGCTTAACCCACTCTCGATAAGATCAAGAGTAGTCAATGAAGAAGAGAGATTCATGAAGAAACGAGGATTAACAGATGTCATGTTCACTCCACTAAGCACAAGTTCTCTCACCTCACTCAAGTTATGAACAAGATTTCTCAAGGTAGTTGTTTCAAGGATCAAGTCAAAAGAATTGTACCCAATGGAGAGATTGAGAGAAACTAACTTGGGGAGGTGAGCGATTTCTCCTGGAACTGGGCCCGAAAATCCAGAATAAGAGATATCAAGATGCTTTAGTCTAGTAAACTGACTGATTTTTGATGGAATCTTGGAATGCCTAAAATCATTCAAGGCGAGATTGAGGCTCTGCATGTTTTTGAGGAGAAAAAGCCTGCTGTTGGAAGGAAAGGTGCCATAAAGGAAACTGCAGCTGAGATTAAGGGCAATTACATGGCCTGTGACATTATCACAGCTAACCCCATCCCAGGAACAACAGTCTATACCTTCCTTCCATGACTCAATCTTAGAATAACTTTCCCCACAATAATCTGGATACGGAACAGTGTAATTGATGGAGAAGGATGTCTTGAATTGCAGCAAAGCAAGAGCCTCCTCATGAGAGCAGAGATGCGTTGTTGAGAAGGAAGAAGCATGTATAGAGGATGAGAAGGCAGTTTTAAGACAGAGGAAGACAAAAAGGAGGCAGAGTGGTGCAGAGAGCTTTGTGAAGATCCTCATATCTTTGTTTGGCGCAATAGAGTACTCTAGAAGAATATATATAGAGTGTTTCAAATTGAAGGAGGCTAATAATTGAATATATCCCATTAAAACAAAAATAAATGAGTATGGAAAGTAATATTGACGCAGCGGTGGATGTCATTTTTTAATTTATTTTTTATTTATTATTTTGAAAGTATAGCATATAAATACAATATTCGACCAGACGAGATTTAATTGATTATTATTATTATTATTTTTTGGCTACTTTTAGATTTCTTTGAAACCCTTATATATAAAGTATGCAAACTAAACTAAAGCAAGGCCCAGGAACATTATCAAAACAAAAGAAATCAAAATGACAAAATAAAAGATCTGATTGAGTTGACACTAATATCCAAGTCGTCGTTAACACCTTGGTGTTCAAGTTGTAAAACAGCTTCTTACCTTCTTTTTTTTCCCTAGTGTTCAAGACTTTGTCAAGTCTTCGTCAATGCCTTGATGTCTCTGTCAATGCTTTATACGTGTTTAATTTTCAAATGTCACTTAAAACTTTGCTAAAAATGAACAGATGAGATGTAGGGTATATTACTATATTACCCTCAAGAAAAATTTGATGATTAAATGAAAGAGAAGATTTTTTTAATAATATATAGACCTTAATTGTTATGCACATATATAATTTTCTGACTAGACCTATCGCCTAATTAAAAGCTAATGCAGTCAGAGTAACTGTTAGTTTTGAAAGGTTGGTGGTGGCATGATGTGATGATCCAATTCTTGTTCAAAGTATTTAATGATGCAACAGATATATTGAGGAATCATTTCAGTGGCTTGAGTTTGGAATTCTGGACAGTTTTTTTTACAAAATTTTCACATTGCATCATTGAAATGGTTACATATTTTTTTATTAATTTTTATAATAAATAAAAGTTAATTTTAATTTTATCAATTGCTTAATTAAAATTAAGTATGTATCATTAATATTGAAAATAAAATTAACTTTTATGTTTTTTTATGATTTTTCTAACATATTTCATTAACACAAAATAAAAGTGCAATTAATGCATCTTTAGCTTTTAAGTCACATAAAAAAAC